TTAGTCTGATACCGAGATATCTGTACATGGGAACAGCTTCAATCACATCGCTGTCAATGGAATATTGATGTGTTAACAAGGACTGTTTTCTAGTGAATTGAACTAGTTTGCACTTAGCTTTATAGAGCGTCATCAACCATTTACCACACCAGTGGCTAACCTCCTTAAGATCATTCTGAAGCTGGTGGCTGTCGTTAACCGATGAGATCTTGTTATATATGACACAATCATCGGCAAAAAGCCGTATTTTAGAGGAAATGTTACATGGAAGATCGTTAATGAATATTAAGAAGAGCAGAGGGCCGAGGACTGAGCCTTGCGGAACGCCTGACGTAACGCTCGTTAGACTTGATTCATGATCGTTAATGGCTGTGTATTGAACACGAGATGCGAGAAAGTTTCTAATCCAGGAGAGTACTAAGGGGTCTAAATGCAGGGACGATAACTTGGAAAAAAGACGGCGATGCGGAACACGATCGAAGGCTTTTGAAAAGTCCAAAAATATGGCATCTGTCTGTACATGAGAGTTAAGGTTAGTATGTAACTCATGAACAAATTCGCACAACTGAGTCTCGCAAGAGTAGCCCTTGCGGAAGCCCATGCTGTTGTCTAAAAAGAAAACTGTTTGAGGACAGATGAGTCATTATGTGAGAGTATAAGATATGTTCGAGAAGTTTAGATGATATGCATGTTAAAGAGATGGGGCGATAATTCGAGACGGAAGACCGAGTTCCTTCCTTGTAGATAGGAACTACCCTACCGACCTTCCAATCGGAAGGAAGGAAGCTTTCAGAAAGTGATTGGTTGAAGATGAGGCAGAAAAATTTGCTCAAAATTGCAGCAGTATTTTTAAGGATTTTTGCATTGACATTGTCAGGGCCACCTGAGGATGAAAGCTTGAGTTTAGCAATTAGATTATTAATGCCAATTTCGTTAACAGAAATTGGTGTCATGGAATCATAACCTTCCACAGGAACGATGGGAATATTACATGGACTTTCATTTGTAAATATGGAAGAAAAGTATTCATTAAACACTTCAGGGCATTCGCTCTCTTCAACAGGTTCACCGTTATGGTGTACCAGGTTGATAGTCGCGGGACTGCTTTTGGGCGACATTAGCTTCCAGAATTTCGTGGGGTTGTTACGCAATATTGTTGGTAAATCTTGAGAGAAAAATTTTGTTTTCGATAATCTAAGGTTCTTCGTATAGTTTCTAAGTGCATCGTAGTAAGAGTCCCAAGCACGAGATGAATTAGATCGCTTTGCCCTTGCAAAAAGTCGCTTTTTCTTGCTAGATAATGACCTTAGCGTTTTATTCTACCATGGTTTGGATGAGTCGGTATGAATTCTTATGGTAGGGACATACAGATGCACCAGGTCAACCATCTTTTTCTTATAAAGAACCCAGTTTTCTTCAACAGATTCCATTGATGCAACGAGGTAGTCGAAACATTTACTGACAACTGACAATTATGATCAGTGTGCGCAGCCCACTGCCGTCAAACGGGGCAGTCACGAGAGCTTGCCAGAATGTATGGGATGCTGCTGGCGTCCTCGTCATAATGTGATACATGTTTTCTCCCTTTTTTTTTTTCTTTCCTTTTTACGTGTTTTCTGTAGTGCGTAATTCTGTACATTTATTTCTGTGTTTTGTTCTTTTATATGTGGGGGCAGGCTGGCAGCAGACATGTACAAGCTACTCAATACAAGTAATTAAGTTAAGTTACTGAGTATTAGCTTCAAAAGTAATTTGAGTAGAGTAGAAATTACTCAAATAAAAAAGTAATTGAGTAAATTACTAATTATCATAAAAAAGTAGCAACTTACCTTTGAAGTTACTTTTATTTTTTCTATGCTAACAAGGAAGTACTTACGAAGGCTTTGATGCCTTAGCGACATTCTGCTAGCCGAATATAAAGCGGCTTGTGTTTTCACATAAATGCTTTAATAGCTGGTTCTGCTTCTGCATGCCTAATTGTTGTGTACTTCTTTTTACTCAAGGATTTACTGCGGATGTATCATTTCACCTTTAAGGTTTAACACTGCCTGAGCTTGATTTTGCGGACAGTGTTTGATTGCTTACAGTAGACAGTTTTAGTGGACCGTACGCTGTAGCTTTGCGTACGCAAGGAGATTGCGGGTCGTGAGTGCGCATGCGCAGAACGCAATAGAAGGGCTAGCGTATTGCGTACGCGCAACGCTGGGGATTTTGCGTTGTTGGCTAGCGGGCCTTGCGGGACGCTCTCGAGAGATCTCGGACCCAACGAGAGCGCCAGTTTCAAGATGGTGGTTGCCTCGACTGGCACAGCAACGGCGACGTGGTGTTTTCGAAGTTCTGTGTTACGTGAAATTGCGTGGTGTTCAGCTCGGCGATTCTTTCTGGGACCTACCGCGGTCGAATCAGACCGCCCTGCAGCTGAAGGAGTGCACAGTGGAAACGTTCGCCGCTCGCAGTGTGCGTCAACGCTAAGCCTATTCCCACAGTTCATCGCCGACGGACGAACGACTCTAAAAGAAATCGCCGAAGTTCTCGCTATGCACTGGACATCAGGGTTATGAATTTCATTCCGCGATAGCATTGATAAAAGGTGCCGTTTCCACGGGACGACTGACGGAGGCTCCGTGATCGAATTTGGCTACGCACTCGTACTCGTAGCCTCTCTACCCCGCAGAAGGTGTGGCCTGGTTTAATCTGAAATAAAATGATTGGACACTTTTTCTTTTTCAATATTTCTTTCCAGGAGCATGGTTGCGCTATAAACACGCGGAATTCCACGGCTCTAGCAAATTTAACCAAGATCATGCGCGGCGTTCACTCGAAAACGTAACGCACAACTAAATTCGGTCCGAGCAGGTCATTTTTAGCGTACACGCTATACTATTTCGTATTGCGTACGTAAGATCCTGCAACGCTATACTAAAACTCTAAAGTTGCGTAAAGTACGTCTAAAAACTACCTGGAAGTACAAAGTAAATGAGGGGTTATGTACTTCAAAGTTGTAAGTACACCGAATGCAAAGTACTTGAAGTAAAGTACTATAAATAAAATGTGCTTCCAAAGTAAAGTTGAAGTACTTTTTAACACCCTTTCAGAATGCCCTTTCATTTCCTATACAACGTTCTTTTTGTTTTTGTTTTTATTTGTCGGTATGGATCGTTTTAGGGGAAATCGGAGGTGCATCAGTTTTTTTCGGAAAAAACGGCAAATTCAAAAATGCATCATTTTTTTTTTTTTTTTGGAAATGGCGGCAATTAATACGCCACAGAGTAATTGCTTTATTCTCCCTGCCGAACCATTTAACAGAATGAACTTATAAAGCACTTATTTGTATCGGTTTCATAGCCGCCATTACTTCACTCAGAGAAATGACCAGATGACGTTGCGAAAGGCAGCACAATGCACCAGATGAACTTCAGAGCGGGTGCTGCACTTTGTTACCTCTTGAGTGAGGATGTAGTGTGTATACCTCCTGTAGTGGGCAAGAATTCCTGCATTGGGGAGAAACGGGGCAATCCCTTTCTTCAAATGGGTCAAGCCTCCTTGAACTTCGGGACACAGAGAAACGCCAATCTTCGACGCTAATCCCACAGTTACTCGGCCTCTTGCGTCGTGTTTGTTCGCTCCCCGCGCCTTGTAGCAGTGTTGTTGCTGTGGGGGGGGGGGGGGGGGCTCGTTAAAATTTTGGGGAGTTTTAGACTATCCAAATTAGTTTCTTCCTCCCCCCCCCCCCCCCTCCTTTTCTACGCCACATGCTTCCCCCTCTGCAAATATCAGCTGACCTTCCAACATCTTATCTCTGTTGATAGGCAAAACAACCACTAATATCTGAACGTAATTTGTAATTTGTCGGAAAAGTAGTTAAACTACTAATAACCAAAATCTAAATGTAATTGAAAGTTACTAAACTACACAGAAAAGTAGTTAAACTACAGTAACTTGAGTAAAGTAGCTGAACTACGTACAAGTTTGGCTGGCAGAGCTCTGCGTAAGGGTTTTCACCTATCTGCCTAGCCCCGCACACCACCACATGGGCCGCTTCCAGTATGTGCAAATAAATTTATTATAATTATATTTTTTATTATTATTATTATTATTATTATAACAATCTTGTTTCCAGCTCACAAGTAGTTTGTGCCAAAAAAGAATAATATTGCTTTTTAGTTCGCGTCATTTCGCGATTTCCATGTATCTGCATAAAACTAAACACAGAACTATCATGCTCGACGTTGCACATGCGACCATTCCTAACTCTCCCCAACTTCCTAAACGTCCGTGTGTGTCCTAACACCAGAAACTGGAATTTAAAGATGAAAAACGTATAACTTGGCGAATATGGAACGCATACTTCCATCCTAAGCTGACGTCAAGTGACTCAAATCGAAAAACATGCATATTTACAATATTCTTATCTCTTCTGGTGAAGGCTCAGCAACCGTTGCATTCGTTTTCGCGCACGAAACCGCGACTCCCAGAGAAAGTAAGAACGCAGAAATTGCCTTTATTTTAACAATATAATCAAACTTGCAGGCGTGCGCTGACGAAGCCTCAAAATCAAAACTCTCGTAGCGTGATTCGTGACTGCGCCGGCTACTACCCAACCTCGTTGTCACTCCACTTTCTGCAAGCAAGCACTAAAATCGCCAGTAAACACACAAAAGCGACATCGATACTATGTTGTAAAATATCACCTTATTTAGTCATAACTGTGTCAATAGGCACTACATGTTTTATTAAAGTTAAGGAAAAATAAAGATTAACCTTTTTTCGCAAAAAAAAAAAAACCCAACTAAATATCAATGTTAAGTCTGGTAACAGTGCATTTTTGCCAAATCATTGCTGAATCTTTAGAAAAGTTCGGCAAAAGTTGCGCCGAATTTTTGATTCGGCAAAAGTTTGGCCCATGACTAGTAAAAATATGCGACCGGGGAGGGGGGGGGGGTCTGGTTTTCCCCCCCCCCCCCACTGAAAAACAAGTTAATACGCCACTGTACATTTCATTCGCATTCGGATCTTTCAACGTCAACGATCACCTTTATATCGAGCAGTTTCTAAAACAGTAGACAGGAAGGGGGGAGGGGGGGGGGGCGGGGGGAGGTTGTCCGTTTCTCTCTTTCGAGGACGCCTACTAGCCCGCACTGCTGTCCCAATGGTCTTCGAGCTGCCTAGAAAATGCATGGAAGCGCGGTCATCCTCCTCTTTGGCTTGGGTACGACTGGGCACTCTCGTGAGCACGCAGAGTCAGACAACTAGAAGTTTCGGGCATACTGCAAGCCAACGGCGAGCGCTGCGACTCCGAAGCTGGCCAGGGTGCCGCTCACTATTCGGGACAGCAACTGAAAAATAAAAGCAGGGAAGTCGCACGCACGGCTTCTAAAGTCCAATTGCGCACCGTGGTTTCTAAAATTGATCCCGGCGCTGTAAAACGAACCGAAAGAAATCGGCGCTCGCGCATAGAAAGCTGGAACGTTCACCGAATGTTTATACTCCGCTTCACCATAAGTTGGCGAACTGTGGAGGCTACGGCGTCGGAGCGAGGCACGTGACGACACGTCACAGAGCGTTTGTGTCACTGCTCCGAATGCGAGGCCCGGGGGAACCGGCTGTCGTCCGCTGGCCAGAAAGCCAGTGACAAATGCGCCTTGTGCGCGTACACAATTGGCCCTCTCTTTTTCCACCAATCTCCAGTTACAACGCCCCCCCCCCCCCCCCCGCCCCCCCCTCCTCTCCCCCCCCCCACACACACACACACGCACACACAGGAGTCGTCTGCTGCGAAACCAACACACTTCGGGTAAACGTCCGCCGCCGCAACATCGTCGTCCGCTATAGTATAGCGACCTCTCAGGAAACAGTTTATAAAACTGCTAATGCAAGCGCGATGTATTGAGCGGAAGCGGTCGATTGCAAGGCTGAGATCACTCAAACAGCGTTGAAAAGTCACGTTGCTCTCGGAACAGGGTCGATCCCAATTACGTATCGTTAAAAAGTAACCTGTCTTCGTCTTTCTTTCGTGTCATGTAGCGTAGTGTCGATATAGTATTGAAAGAAAAAGCCAGCTCGGCATAAGACGTGTCTTTTCCATCGTCAGAGCATATATATATATATATATATATGTGTGGTCAGAGAGCCAGCCGGACCAGTCGCCTAGACCATGCCTTCTGTCGACAAGACTGTGCTCGGTTACAAGCTCGACCGCAAGCTAAGGGACTTCAAGGCCCGCTTTCGTAAAGACCGCCGCCCTACTAACACCGGCGCCAACCCCTGTAGTCTAAAGCCCCTCGATGTGTTTGTGTTCATGAATTTTATCAAAAAGATTTACTAACCCCCCTCCCTTAAATAGGGTTGCTGTGCTCCCTGCGTCGCCGGTAATTCGGCCGGCTCGTCTGCAAGTCGGGCCCTCTCCAGTGATGTTCCATACCACGTCCAAGAATTTCCTTCCTTACAAAAATTCCCTATTCGAGGTACTTTTTCCCTGCAAAATTTTGAAATATCCCGCATATTTTCCTGCATTTTATTACCTTTATTTTCGTATCAGCTGATTTTTGTGGTCATGCAGGCCACTATGCGCGCATTTTACCGCAAAAGCTACGGGAAATCGTATGTTTAAAGAGAAAAAAATGTTACTGCACTACCGAAAAACCCAGTATAAATTTTCGCTAAGTGGATTACGGAATTGGGATTTCAGGTTTCCAGAAACAATTCCAGTTAGATTTCCAGTTTCATTAGTGAAAAATTACACTTTCTTTTTTGGTAGTGTGTTCAGTTTATATTTTTATTAACAAAATAATATATCATTTACCAGAGTTCGGTAAAGTACATCTATAAAGTACTTGGTGTAAAGTACAAAGCAAATGAGAGGTTATTATCTCAAGAAAGGTAGTAAGTGCTTTGGGTGAAATTTACTTGAGGCAAAGTACTATGCATATCACGTACTTTCAAAGGTACTTTTTAACACAATCTTTCATGGGGGTAATTGAGGGTAAATCAGTTATTTTCCAAAATAGCAGCGAATGTTGGTGGTTTAAGTCAAGTTGCCATGGAGTAGTCCATTTCACTCTCGCTGACTAACTATTTAACACCATCAACCTATGCGGAAATTATTTGCATCGATCTTACAACCGCCATTACGTCACTTACTTTACACAAAGAAATTACCAAATGACATCTTCAAAAACGATAGCGTGTTTTTACATAACAATACACTTTTCTTTTTTTTCAAAGTCGAAAAATATGTTAGGAGTACCTCTGCTCGGAAAGTACCGGAAAAATTACTTTAAATAAAGTACAACTATATGCTCGGAAAATGTACTTCAAGTTAAGTACAAGTTTTCTAAACCTACTTAAAAGAGTTGTTCCAACACCTTTTTCCTGCACCACCAACTTTCTTTCTCTTCTTGATACTCTTGGACCGCTCGACTTCTTTCGTCTTTAGTTCCCTCTAGAGCTATTCCCGAATTCCCTCGTTAATCCTTAAAATTCCCTGCAAACGTGTTAAAATTCCCATTTCCCTTTTCACCAAAATTGAGACCGGAAATTCCCTAAAAAAGGGAAAATTCCCTGCATGGAACATCACTGGCCCTCTTTAGGCGCTCGAGACCGGTCTGCTAGAAGTTACCAGCCCATGGCATCCCCGCGAAGAGGGCCTCCATGGTACCCTTCCTCCGGTACCGCGGCTCCCCTGAACAAATGAGGATTATTAATTTATTATTATTATTATTATTATTATAGAAATGCAACAGTGCGAGTTCAGTTGCCGTTAAAAGAAAAAGAAGCCTAGAACTACTTTTTGTCGCGGACGACGCTGTTGTGTCGAGGCCTCCGTGGTCTTGACTGTGCAGTGTTGTCACGTGCCTCGCTGCAGCCTCCACAGTTTGCCAAGTTATCGTAAAACGGAGCGTAAGGATGAACGGAGATGCTATAGAGCCTAGATTGAAAAGAGGGTCCATCTATGGGGAGCGTTTGCAAGTGCGAGGCGCGTGGCGAGGAGGAAAGCAGGAGGAAAGGCAGATACGTTGGCGGACGATCAACGCTTTTGCCACCTCCTCACAGCTCGGATTGCAAACGCGGCTCAGAAACCACGTGACCCCAATCGAGCAGTTGGCAACTCTCTGTAATGTAGGCACTGTAATGCCTGGCGCCATCTTCCGACAAGCGCAGCGAGCAGACGACGCACTTTTTCGTACGCTCGTTGCACTTATCGGGAGATGACGCGACACGTTACAAGCATCGATAGTTCGGTTGTCTGCTAAGTCGTCCGCCGTTGATTCTGGCAAGTATGGCAAGTTTGTTGGGTTGCGATTTTCACATGAAGGGAGCTATTTTTTTTTTTTAAATTTCATCAGCTACAGTCCACCACCTCAATGCACATTCGGTAACATTTAGAGATTTCTATAGGGTGTAACAAAAAAAAAAGTTTTTTTTTTTTTTTTGTTGCAAAAATAAACTAGGCATTGCCTAGTTTTTTTTTTTCATATATAGCAAAACGAAAACCCGGGTGCGTGAGCCAACCATCCATTAGCCCAGTGGACAGTGAGGTAATCGTTTTGGACATGAGCTGACCTGAGAATTGAAGATCGAGATTGAAGATCCAAGAAAGAAGAAAAGAGGAGGAAGACGCGATGACTTATACCCGTGCTGGTGTGCTTTAATGTACTCGTGTGTTTTAATTTGATATGATGTACAATGTTGCGTGCTTAATGGCGAATGACTGGAAGAGGAAAAAGAAGAAGCCGTCCTCGCGTGAATGTCTATGTATGCGTTCTGAATAGACAGTTGATAGTCAGCCCCTCGTCCTGTGTGTTCCTTCTTCTTGTCCGTGTGGTATTCGCGCTGTTTTTCAAAATGAATTCATACCAACTAGCCCAGCTTTCCATTCTAGTAAGCATCGCCGAACGCTCATTCTCCGCCCAAACGTAGTGCTAGAGGTCACAACCAGATGCCGAAGTTTTAGCCCGATACGATACCTTATTCAGAAGTTGTAAGGGATTTTCTAAAAAGTTCAATGGGAAAATGGATCCCATTTTTGCCAGTTTTCGGTTTCTGGCGCCATAGAGCCCCATGTATTCGAAAACTCCGTCGGCCGCCATTTTCCCATTGAAATTTTCAGAAAACCACTTATAACAGGTCGGTTTTTTCTTGTAAAACTACAATGCGTAGCTCTCTTTCTGTAAATAATAAGGCCAACAAACTTGCCAGGGTCTACGGCGGGCAGCAACGCAGACGACAGGGGTCCAGTAGCGGGGCGTGTTTGGCATTCGTATTGATAGATGGCGCTACCTCCTTATCGCGACAGCTCGCGACCACCGTGGGTTATTAAAATGAATATGATCTTTTTGAAATGTCGCTTCGGTTAAAAAATGAATGCGAACAATAAAAGCAAAACTTAAGGTAAAAAACGCATCTGCATAACGGCGGCGCTTTTGCTGCCAAAGGATTTCGTCTGCGTGTCGTCTGCTATCTTTGGCTGGTCGGCTGCACCTTCAGACGCTGCTCCCGACGTCATCTATCAATAGGAACGGCAAACACAACCCGCTACTGGACTTGGTCGTGTGGGTCACAGCCCGCCGTAGACCCTGGCAAGTTTCTTGGTCCTATTTTTTACTAAAAAAGAACTACGCTTTGTAATTTTAGAAGAAAAAACCGACCTGTGAAATACACCTTTGACAAAAAGTTTAGATGGCTACGTGCAGGCGTCGATTTTTACGGTCCATTTTAGATCAAGCCTGGTGACTTGAACCACCCTATATAAGGTGACCAGACGTCCCGTTCTGACCGGGCCAGTCCCATTTTAGAGGTTAATTTCTGCCGTCCCGTCTATTTGGTCTAACGAAGCACCATGTCACGTTTTCGTGAGAACATGCATAGTATAGTTGCAAAATCAGCACTAAAGCGAATGGAAGAAGAAACAAATTACTGGTTACGGACGTGATGCCATAACAATAAACATAGTATGAAACATACAGTATAGTTTCATCTACTGATACATTTTGTCCATATAAATGTGTATGTGAGATACTCTTCTATATTACTGAATGTGACGTGCTTCGGTTGGCAAGATTTCTTCCCCATTGTTAAAAAAATGAAAAGAAAAGCACTTGTTTTCTCATCGAAAAGCTCTGAAAAAATGTGCGCGTTTACGTGTATGCGAATTGTAGCAGAGCTTTTATTTCTGTCTCGCTGTCGCGTTTTTTTTTTTTTTATCTGACAAAAATTATTTTTAATTTTACGCATCAGTTAAAAGAAATAAAAGAAATGCCATTTGCCATGTCTGCATGCATGAATCCACTTTCCAGAGGGAAATATGTCAGCTGGAAAAACCCTAACATAGTCCTTCCGATCGGAGCGGCTGCCGACGTGTGGTTCGTAAACACCGACAGCTGTGCAGTAAACGTGTCGATGCGGATTTTTAAGTTTCGTCGGTAAAAAAAACCAGTCCAACGCAGAATCGCCGATTGCTTGTTCGGCAAAATAGTCGTTTTTTTTTTTAATTTTGTTTTTTATTAACGCGCAATTATTTGACGTTACGAGATATTTCTTGTCAAAATGGTCTGCGGGACTGATGACCTGTGCACGAGCAAACAGGAAACGTCGCATAACGGCTGTCGGGGAACATGTAACGGCAACAAGGCTAGCGGAAATACGATGGTCATTACCCCTGCCTGGTGATAGTCGCGGAGATTATGAAGCGGAGGGATACAGGACGTACACTTGGCTTCCAAGAAGCGTATATAAATCACGTAGTTGCACAGCCTTCACAGGAAACTGATTTTGGAACCAGTCATTTAAAGGGGCGATGCAACGATTTTTGTATTTTGCGCAAATACCGCTTAGAACGGATCCCTGACGTTAATGACCTGTGAAGTACCCGCTAGTTTTTCACCACACGCAATCGAAGTCGCAGAAAAAAATGAAGAAAAACGAGCAGAGTTCACCCCCTCAACTCGCAGCCAGAACAAGCGGCCACGTGATCTGGAGCCGATTATATGCCGCCAATGTTGATCATAGCCACGCGCTGGGGTTGGCAAGGCACAGGACACGCGCTGAGTTCAAGATATTGTTATGGTTCGGCTATTAGGACACTGTCCGAATGCTTCTCGAGCTATCGATTATCACGAACCCAAATCGAGTATCCACGCCATGCTCGGGTCCAATCTATGAGCCGTATTCAAATATCGTCACTGGGCGGTACTGCTACCGCCCAGCTACGTCATCAGGCTTTGCGAAGGAGAGATTGAATGAAACCACTCGGTTTTGTCCTCAAAATTACAGTGCAACAAAGGAGTTTCTTGGTCAGTGGCGTTGCGTGCGAGTATCCTTGAGTCCCACTAGTGCCAGTAAGCTCGTGTAAAGTGAAAAACATTCCAATTGAATATCGTTGCACCGCCCCTTTAATGTCCAGACTCCGAAGCACACATATTTTGTTATTGGGGTAATTCGCCTGTTACCGTAAAAGTCTCGTGATGAATTCCACGGGACTTCCAAAATATATCGGCCAGGCGCTTTATGCATCTAATCAACAACGTCCTATTCCGTTCAATATGAGCAACAATACAAGAACGTGTGGAGCGTAAAATAATATTTGCGGGGGAACTTTTGTTGTCACGTTATCATGTTTCCAGACGTTCTTCTGTTTAAACAAATCACGAAAAACCTGTAATCGCTCAAATGTTCAAATGACGCAGTAATTCTCAAACACAGGTTATCAATGATACTTGGAAAGAAAAAAAAAAGCAGAAAAAATACGGATGAAATGTTTGTAAATATTTTAACTGGAATAGTATTTGCCGCAATTACGGAGTAAATATTCGTAAAACCACGCGACCGAAAAGATCAGCCTGGTTCTGGTATCGAACCAGGGATCTCTCCATTTAGAGTGGAGCTCTCTACCAACTAATCTAACCAGGAGTTAGACGTCAGTAGAGCAAACGGGTTTTTATCAACCACCAGTCTTACCTTGTCCTGCCAGGCTCTGTTTTTGACACACTCGTGGTACCTGGTTCTGGAGAAAGTGACCTGCAACAGTCGAGAGGCAAGAGAAAAACGTGACACTGGTGCCTTTACTCTATACGGTGTTACGGAACGCGTCGTGGACTGGTGTATTTAGCGTCATAAACCGCGCCCATTCATCGAAAGTGGCCCCCAAGTGGAAACAAATGATACTACAGGAGCAGCGGCGTGCCATGTTGTCGCATGTCGAGAATCCTGGGTCCTGGCGGAAAAGAGGAGGGGGCCTGAAGATAGTTTAGACCAGGTGGCGCAGGCTACCGCCCAATACAAAGGGTAAAGCCGCTAACATCAATCCACCTATCGATAGAAGATCTGGCGAAAAGTACGAGCGAGCGGGGGCGTCCTTGCCGTCGCGGCGTGCCAACTCCTCGCTGCCAAAACTTCCGTGGGCTGCCAAGCTGGGGAGTAAACTGCAACAAAACGGATGCCTGCCTGCTGGGACACCACCAGGATCCTGGCGGTGTCCCAGCAGGCAGACACCGTCAGCACTTTTTTTGATGACATCGGGCGTGAATTCAGGGATTACATGTGCGGACGCGGCAGATACAGGCTCAAGCACACGCGATTGGTGCTTGCGAGATCCCGGTATCGCGCGGTAACGGCGTCACGGTATGACGGTATGCCGAAACGTTCCAGTATAGCGGGTAAGACCCTTACCGTGGTGTAGAGTGGAATCCAAAGACTGGGCGCGAGCCGATTCAGCAGTGTGTCCAGCTTCTTGCGCAGCAGGAAGACGGGCGTGTTCACCAGGTCGCGCATCTGCAACGCGCGTGCACAACGGGCACATCTCGGTTCACAGTCATGTGACGTCATGCTGGCGGCACTCGTTTGTCGAGAAAACATTTGGACCATCACGGGACACGAATAGGGTACGCGGCAATGTGGTCTTTCTCCTTTTGCTTCACCGCTGATGACGAAGAGTTAACGCATACCAGACCTAGGTTACAGTACACCTAAGCGATCCAGACGCAAACCGTTTTTTTTTTATTTGTTTTAGTAAGAAAAGTTTTGCCCTCTACTTTTTCCTTAAGTTTAAGTTAACTTAATTGGTATCCCATAGATTTTTATAACAAAAAGAGCTGAAAAGGAGAGAAACGGGGTGAGGAAAATGTGCATACAGGACGGTAGGTGTAAGGAAACCCCGCGAATATCTTTAGTACACCGAGCGAATACGTAATGACATGCAGAGGGTGCTCAACGTAGCCCAATCCGTTCGCTCGACAGGGAAATAAAATGCACGGTCATATATCGCTAGCAATTATTTGCATTATACTACATGACAAATGACAACTCAGTTATCCCAATTGAAATTAACTCGATGTGGTCCGCAGTCAGTCCATAGTCGGCAAAGACAGACTTACCTCGACGTAGTTGTAAAGGGCTAGGTCGCAGATGGCTTCCGCATCCGGGTTTCTGGTTGTGGTGAACTTTGAGAAGACGGCACCTGGACGCGGAAACAATCCTCTTTGCAACGGCCGTTGCTTGAACCCCGTAAATCATAGAAAGACAACGTGACTAGAGTTGAACGGACAAAGCATCGACAATCGTTGCTCATGAACAGAACAATCTTATGCTACCGGCACCAAGTTGCTACCGGCACCAAGTGACAAGCGTTGGTTTGACACCAAGTGTGGTGTCAAACCAACATGCTTATCAACAAGAGCTACTGCTGACTTCAACGATGAAGTTCCCCAAAAAGTTGCCGGCTGTGCACTAGTGATTGCGTTGGGAAAGTAGGGGAGGGGGTGAAGGCCTTTTCTAGTTGGCGTTTTATTGACTATATACTGTCGTCCAACTCGCAAGACTCAGTAGGTGCCACTCCCTGGTGCTAGAGACTTCGCACTCGGGTGGCGCAAGCCGCCACACGATTTAAATTAATTGTGTTGTGTGCATGTTTAGACAGAGGGAAGTTAGTCAGCCTCAGTGGGCGCCATGGTGTCTCAGCTGCAGAAGGGAAATTTAGCCAATGCAGTACACCGCTGCCAGCCTGGGGTATTTAACGCGCACCACGCACTAATGATACACAACGGCACGCCGGTAACATGATCATCCAGATTAAATCGATGAAATGTGAACTGAACTATATAGGATCCCTGGTTTCTGCAACGGGAGATTTCAGTCCACGCGATCCGAGCTGCGGCTACCCACTTTGGTCATATCCATCAGTCTATGCATTTTATGCATTTGTGCGTGATGCTCGTGACGGTCACCACCATTAAGAGTGGTATTGTGAGTGCATTTTATATGCCTTTTTACGCGCAAGCGCGTGGCCGCTTTTAGTTGTGTCGTAGAGAGTGCGGGTTAAAATCGGGAATAGAGCCTTTGCAGAACGTGCAGCGCCCTCTGTAGCTCTGAAAGGAATGCCGGGAACGGCCTGTATAGAACCGGCAGTGTTGGGTAAAGTTAATCTAATAAGTACTTGAACTAAGCTGCGAAGTAAGTTAGAGGTGATGTACTTGAAGTATAGTAGTAAGTACACTGGGCGCAATGCACTTGAAGTAAAGTACTATGAATACAATGCACTTTCAAAGTACAGTACAAGTACTTTTTAACACAATCTTTTATAATTTCCTTTCATTCATCATACAGTGTTTTTTTTTAACATCTTAAACACAAAAGCGTTAAGGACACTGACAGAACAAAGATACGGACAGGACAAGTGCTTACTATCAACTTAGCGTTTAATGCGCGAAAAGAGAAAGACTAAAACTAATACACGTTTGCAAGTCCGGTCTCAGGGCGCCGCCATCTTCCTCAGTGGGGTGCGCTCTCGGGAGCGGCCATAATCCGATTACGACGCCTTAGCAAGGCTTCGTAATCGGATTATGACTGGTCCAAGCGCACCCACGACAGGCAAGATGGCAGCGCCCCGAAGCCGGACTTGCAAACGTGTATAGGAGAAAAAGAAAAAAAAAGTAATTCTGAATGCATTCACTCAAAAATAAAATTGTAGAAGAAATATTTAAAAAAAAATATCTGTTTTAAATTGAAAAAGGAAAAAGAAAGAGAGAGAGAAAGAAAAGCAGCCGGGTTAAGAAAGGAAATTGAAGTACCAGATATCTTTCTCGGACAGTGATATTGATGGCGTGCTGATGAACGTGTCTTCTTTTTTATTATGAATTTTGCCTCATAAAGTTCTCTGCCTCTCTTGCTCCGAAAGTAGATTTACTGTCTCCGACATGTATGGCTAGGTGAGCTCATGGTGACAAATGTAGAAAAAAGACATGCTCTCGTAGTCTTACTTTTATGCAGCGGCCAGAGATACCAACGTACGCCCTCCGAAGTTCCTTCGCCCTCCCACACAGGCGCGTGGCCAGGGAAGGGGGGAGGGGGTGTTCAGGTATCCGAACACCCCCTGAAGTTCCTTCAAACAGCACTTTAAGTACAATGTACTTAAAGTACTTCTTAACACTGAGAATCGGCTTCAGCAGACGGCAGAGGCGATCTTGTAGGCGACGGGGGATACACAGCCAAAAGGGGCGAGGGGCAGGCAACTGCGCTACCATTATATTTGGCTGATTTGGCGCTACCCCATCTCTCTCTCCGTCTCTCTCTCTCTCTCTCGCATGCGCTTTCTTCAGTGTCACGTAGTAAATGGTGCAAGAAAGGGGAGGGGGGGAGGAGAAAGACAAATTGTGACTTCTTGCGACGTACATGAAGTTCCAGAAAGACACGAGAAAAACCTTATGATTTCGAGATTTGAGCTAAGACTCGAAGACCACCTAGAAGACTAGAAGACAAGCCCCGCGCGTGACGTCATCATTGGCGAATCCCCGACCCGCCCAAGCGGCAAAGATACGCTCAAGCGCGACAAAAGTATGCGGCCAAGCGACGGTCGCCTGCACCTTGGCGTCGCCGCTCTTACTGGCGTTCTGCTCGGTCACGAGACGCATACAAGCCGCGCTCGTGGTGGCTCGCGAACTACAAAAGGAAAGGCGCGTGGCCTCGTCCGGGTTGCAGGTGGCGTTACCTGACCGCGTCCTAAAACAGGACTTCTGAGAGGACGCGCGAATTAAAGGCCTCGTCCCGCAGTTCTTACCCAGGTCATCCAGCCCACACTGGTCGAGCAACTCGTTCAGCAGGCAGCAATCCTCGAAACCCTGCACGAAGATGACCAAAACACACTCTTTCTTTTTTTTTTTTTTTTTGAACAAGCCCTTATAATAACGTACAAATGACACGCTGCCATATTGTTCACTTATGTGCGTCTTCGTAACAGCTGACGTTAACAGTTTTATTATTGCCAGCTACGAGTAAGCTCATCAAAGCGTCGCGAGAAAGGTTTGAAGCCCCACTGCTCATACACATCATACAAAAGACAAAGTTTTCATCATGTGGTGGCTTTACCAACGGCAGAGCGCAAACGTAATAGCGTTTAACTTTCACAAAGCTAATTAACGAACATGCGCACGTGCGCACACACACGGCGTCTCGCATGTAATACATTCAGTTCCTGGCAGCATAAGAACGGCAGGGCGTCCAGTACGCGCTTGTCGCCCTCCATCGTGCTTGGACTGCGCGTGCACGCTTGTGTACTCACGAGAAGTGTTATTAAAGGTAGGAGCATCTTGCTTAGAGGCGGGACAAGTAAAAAAAAAAAAAAACCTCCTTGCCGTTTTCGCCCCCGCCAGCGGCAACAGGCAGAAACGATCTGTCTATGGATAGGCAACCCCAAAGCCGTTGCATGATGTCTCTCCAACCATAGCCTCCTCTATACTAACAAAGCCTGGCAGTTCGACGACGGAGCCGTAAAGTGCCCGGTCGCAGATTTGGAGCGCGAGGGTCTGGTAGCACAGAGCATCAAAGAGCCATTTCTCGGGTATCCTGGACGTCAGCGCACAGCTTTTGCTGCGGCGAGGACCCGAAACACACTTGTTCGCTCGGGAGAGGCGTGTTTCGGCGTCTCGCCGCAGCGGGGCGCCAGTCACGTGGCTCTCTTCTCATCGGTTGTCTGCCGCTGCACCTTTTCTATTTCGGCGGCCGCTTCTGGCGGCGATCTGCCAGGCCTTGTCAGTATATAGGAGGCTATGCTCCAACCAAGTACCGCCACACTTACAGCATTCATGCCCTGACCGTAAAAGGGCACCATGGCGTGGGCGGCGTCTCCCAGCAGTATTGACTTGTCGGCCACGTGATAGGGATTGCACTGTGCGGGGAGGACAGCACACGGTTGTTAGACTTTGTAATCGCGCTCCGCGTGACGACCGACCGTCCTTACCTTGATCATAACCATGGGTGAGGCGTCCACAGCGAAGTAACTCTTTACCAGGTGGTCCCTGCACGTTTCAAACAAGTTGATTTGAGAAATCGCTCCGTGGATCGGATGTCAATAAACCATTTGCGAAAATATCAAAAGGTCACGCGTGAAGCGCGCCAAGAATTATAGGGAGGTCCTGTACGCAGACGATGAAGGCTGAACGAGTTGCTAGATCAATGTGGCCAGGAGCACTTGGCCAGGAGCACTATGCTGCATGAATATCCGTAAAACTACGGCCGAAGCTGAAGGAACGTCCGCGGCTCCCGCCGCGTGGCAATGTGCGCGGGGAGCGAATGCCAGTGGCTCGGAGTTCGGTAGAGGCAAATGCGCAGGACCTCACGCCGCCATCTTCGAGTAGCATATGCGGAATTGCGTGCGATTGTTTTTAACGCTTCGCCGAGTCGCGCGAGAGAGTCGCGTGAACTTCCCGTGCCGCAGAGCACGTGAGCTCGGCCGCGGTCTAGAGCGATGAGCGAAGATTGTGGCATCACGGCTGCCGGACGGGCATCTATCGCCGTTTCAATCAGACAGGAGTGCGTCGCGTTGAAGCGAGCAAACGAGCAAGCCAGCTGATAAGAAGGGACGCGCGTGCGAACTGTGGGGGTGCCCGCAGCAGCGGCGCGCCGTCGGGGAACGCGGCGATACAATTCGGCCGGCGCTCCGGTGTCATCTGTTGGTGGACTCAAGTGGTCGCATGTCTCCTCCGACCTTGATTGAGCAGAGCGCCCCCTCCTCGCCGCCAGAGCTATACTCGGGATCCTTTTCAGCCGATCACAACTGATGTGTTCAGAGCACTCTCACATTCTCAGACCAGTCACGGAAGTAAATCTTCTTAACATTGGCAATGCATAAAAAAACACAACAGACCACTGCCAGCCATCGTCACCAAAACCACGTGATCTCCGTCCAAGTCCCACGTGACGCCTGCGCCGCTCCGCACTCCGACGGCTACCGACGGAGTGCTAGAGAGCGCTCCGAGAGGGAGAGGCGCCCTCGGAATGAACCACCCGATCAGGCCACAGCACTCTCTTACAACCACCCGATCTCGCGCTCGCGCGCTCTGGAAAGAGCGCTCGAGAGCGCGCAGAAAGAACCACGCGAATTCGCCATGTGTGACGTCACTTGTGTGACCAAGTTTTCATGACATCGACCTCCCAACCTCGCACCCCCTTTGAAGCGAGGAGATATATTTAAACGTCAAAAAGCCGTCTACGGCTTTGTCATCTTTTCTGTGTTGATCTACTCATTTACCACGTGCGCGCGGGGCGTTGAAGAAAGAAATATATATATATATATATATAGAGAGAGAGAGAGAGCGATAAGCGCAGTTGCGTGATTACTCTTGCTGGCTCACCTGCGTTGACCCCATCGTCTGCTACAGTCACTACCCAGAATTCATTTCGGCGCCGCAGAGGGCGCTGCACGTTTTGCACAAAAAAAAAAGAAGAATGTTGTTCAGCCATTTCATTGCGCGTCACCTACAATACCGCGCAACGGACCCGCGTCACTGAACCGAAAAGCGGTTCGGGGACGTTTTTAGGGCAGCCAACTGAGGCTCATTTGTTCACGAGTAAGCATATAAATTATGGATGGAAACGCAAAAAGACACTCGTTCAGAGATCTTGGATTTAAATATCGATCCAAGAACCGATCACTTGCCATAGACAGCATTCCCTGACCATAAGAATCGACGTCCTATATATGGTTAGAGATAGGACACTCCTATATAGCGCTCTAAATCCGCAGCAACGCCATTGATACATCGTACATACCTGCAGAGATGTATGAGATAATAATCTCATACATCTCTGCAGGGAACTCCGTGTATTTTGAGTGATATACGAGCAATGCGACTGGCACATTAAAATTCGGTTAAAAATTGATTCGTTCTTTTTTTTTAATCGGCAGTTTTCTTTTTTTTAGATCAATACACGCGAGGCTCCTGGTTGCACATTAAGCTCGATAACCGATGTCTTTTTTTCTTCATAATATATCAAAACCAGTGAACAGAAAACGTCGTCGGTTTTAAAGAAGGTATACGCCAAACCCAAAACGATGTGGGGTTGTTGCTATAATTTACACATTTAAAGTTTTTTTTTTCTTTTTAGCACAGAGGCTGAGGTAGTAAACGTTTTCAATACGCGTTATGTTAGAGGAAAAAAGGGGGCGTAGATGAGCCGAGGTCGCGCGAAAGAACCAAAGGTGTAGGAAGAACAGGTTACCCGCAACGACGTCTAGAGCAGCGATGGTTGGCGTCATAAAACGATACAGAGAACAAATCTGGTCGGCCAGTAAACTCCCGACGCGAGTGGGTGATAATTTCGTCAATCTTAAGGGCACTATAAATATAACTGCTGGCTTTATGGCGGTGCGTGAGCTGCTGCTACTAACAGTTCGCCGCCTGAGCACGCGCGAGATTTTTATGTCGCAAATTTCGAAGTCCTCGGACGCCTGTCTCAGATACGAGATAACCCCAGACACGATTATGTCTGATTTTACCAGGTGAACGCTGTGGGTTTGTTGATTCTTTTTTTATTATTATTATTATTTTTTTTTGGTCACAAGGTGTTAGATGCACGCACCGAGGTAGTAAAGACAATTCCGGTGGGTGTACTCGTAAACTACACTAAAATAAATCTTTAAAGAAGATGAAGAAAAGAAAAATTAAGGCTAGAACGGGTGAAAACCATTGACAACGCCGTATGCCATGCAAGTTTTAAAGAGAAAAAGGAAAACAACGCTTGGACTGCTCCGAAAATAAATTCCTGAAATGAAGCGACGGATCCGTAAAACCACTTCTCCGCAAGCTCCCGTGTGTCAGGGGAAGCCAGCTTGGCAGGGGCCGATGCGGCTGTGAACTGTTACGCTGTTCTTGCTTTTGTTAATTTTGTCTCGTGTTTTTCCTGCCCTGTTATTTTTGTCTGTTTACGTGCTCTTTGTTTCGCGTTCGGGTTTTGATAAGCCCGACAAAGCGGACCGTCCATCCCCAACTCTCCGGTTAAAAAAAACAATGGGTAATTAAAAAAAAAAAATCGTGCTTTCCTTTTTTTTTGTGGAAGAAATTAGGTTTTTCTTTTTATTTCTTCTTTGTGAAAACCATCTTGTGTAATTGCTTGTGTAATTGTAATTTCTTGTGTCGTGATTGTTGAAGTGTTTACTCCCCGCAGCAAATAACCTAAGCAAAAAAAAAAAAAAAAAAAAACACACATCATAATTTTGAAGATTAGGTTTTGGTACATGAACAGTTGTGCTACATAAACCCCGGTTTTCGTAACACAAAACCTAGTTTCTGATACTTTTAAAAGCTTACGCTTTTGTTGCAGTCACCACTAAAACGTCTTTTTTTTTTAATTTGGAACGTTTTTGATAGGAACGCAATCAAACCAGTGTTGAAAGCTTAAAATAATACTACCTGCGCCGAGCGCGGAAAGTTCATACAACCTATTCCCATGACGCCATATTTCTGAAGTATGTTCAAGTTAAAGTTTTTGACGAAAGTTGGCTTTCTCGAGTCAAAAAGATCAAACTCTGCCTACATGTTTTATATATATATATATATATATAATACGCAGGCGAGCCAGTTATGTTTCCTAAGCCTATACCTCCTAGAAGACAAAACGTACGTGTCCCCCCCCCCCCCCCCTCTCTCCCCCAAATGCCGTCACTTAGCGGTCGAGTCGTGTGCCGCTTGGGGCAGGTCTGCGGTCCACTACCAGTGACGTCATATGCAGGCCTCGTCTCCAAGGTACATCGCCTAAACTCGGTGCGCGCGTCAGCGATGAATCCAGGACACTCACTCTCCGATGAGCGGAATGGTGTCCGGGAAGTGGACGCGGAAGAAGGCGAGCACTTCCTCCGCCGAGGACAGGCTCTCAAAGATGTCGAAGGGCATGAACAGCGTCGCCGTGTATGTCCGGTCCTGGTTGGGCAGCGCTATCAGCATGAACTCACCCCGGGGCCAGATGTGCAGATAGTTCACTTCCATGGCGAACTGCGTGCGGAAACAAAGAGAACCACAACGGCCTGAAAATACAGCCGCATGAGGCCATCGAAGGACATCGACAGACATCACCGTATTGAACTGAAGCCTCCATAGACGAGTCGTGGCGTATAGTTTTCCTGTCTGTGGTATCGACTGGACGCCGTTTTCGAGCTTCATCTCACGCGAGTCTCGCGTGAGATTACGTGAGTCTCACGCGAGTCTGGGTGGGCAAACGCGGACTCGCTTTGTAGACGGCGCGTTGGCAGAAGTTGGTTCTGGTTGGAGCATATGTACGCGGAGATGCGATGATCTTTCCACACACCTGGCCGTCTTTTGTGGGCGGTATGCAGAGCTCTAGGTAGCCGTGGGGGATGTAAGTCTGGGAATAGTTGAACCGTGGCCTTCGAAGCATCTGCCGCCGTACCGCAGAGTAAGCGCCATCGCATCCGAACAGGGCGCGATGCTGGACGCGAAGCTCTTGACCATCGGGCCTGCGACAACAACAAAAGATAAAAGCAAGCACACACACAAAAGACTGTCTTTTTGGCGTTTTACAAAAGTATTCTAAAGCGCTCCTCTTTTTGAGGGGGCAGTAAAGAGACCATGGAAGGGCACATTGCGAGTGTTTTGGAAATATACAGCGTGTTTCTCCCAAAAATGTTGTGTTTATCTTCGCCGCAAAAATAAAGGCATACGCATTGCAGAACGCTTGTTCTCCGTCCAAATGTAGCGGTGGCGGTTCCAACCAGATGCCGACGTTCCAGCTCTAACCGTTATCGTATTCAAAAGTTAAACGATTTTTCTGAAAAGTTTAATGTCAAAATGGGACCCATTTTCAGCCGTGTTCGGTGTCTGACTCCACAGAGCTCCATGTATTTGAGAGCTCTGTCGGCCGCCATTTTCCCATTGAAAATGCCAGAATGTCACTTATAACGTTTGAATAAAATAGCGGTTAGTGCTGAAACCTTGGTATCTGGTTTGGAACACCAGCGGCAGATTTTGGTGGAAAATGCGCGTTCGGAGATGCGTAGCTTATATCTGCAATAAAGAAAATCCTTCCTTTTTTTTATTTTTTAGGGGTGGGGCACTTTGACTAAAGCCGCCAGTTTCACGTGACATTAGCTGTGCACCACTGGTGTGTTATTTGTAATTCTACCACCGATATTTTTTTTTTATGCCATGGGTTTGGGCCGATGTAGTGTACAACAAATACTACGTCGATCTTACGGAGTAAACTACGATTTATTAGACCTAAGTATGAACAATAAACGACAAACACTAGAACCTCTAGTTACATATTATAACTAAGCTTTCCAAACCTCCGTCTTGAAAAAAAAAAAGTAAAAGTAAAAAAAAGGCGATTAATCTACGGATTATATACATTTATATCTAGAGCGGTATGAATACAAATAAATTCTTAAATTCTGAACGATAGGTCGGCGTTCTTGCAGTATGCTTTTATTATTATTATTTGTTGTTGCAGGTATGAAGTGACGTACCCGCGAAACGTGAGATGCGCTTTGTCGAGATCCGCCGTCTGAAGCTTGTGACGAAAGTGTATTTTCACGTTGGGATTGGCCTCGCACGCTGCGTTGCAAGACAAAACACGGCGTCAAAACACGACCACGGCACCTAGAACGCGTTTCCGACCGGTGTCGGTGGCAACCAGTTCGTCGAACGACGTTTCGTCCACACTGCGGCGTTTCATAAACAATTTGTGTCATCGAAAGGCTCCCGCGCTCGAAAGGCGTTCGTCGACTATCGCAATGTACATTGCCTCCGCTGCCGGCATCCAGATGGTAGCATATAGACTTACAGAACTCTTGGCGATTCCGACGAGGCTTAATTGGCGCAGCCTTGAGCCTAAGATTAATTTATCACCCATTTTTCCCCGAGCGGAGCAAAGCGGAGCGAGGGGTGACCGCGCGTAGCGCCGTCTGCTTGGAAGCCTACGATTAAAGGTGTTCCGAGGAGGTTACTGAGATCGCCTAAATATGACGGTAGCTCACTCTGCTGGCTCTAAGCATCCTATAAATCCCTAAATCGTGACGATACGCGGCCAATTTCCCTAATAAAAACCGCACTCAAAGATCGCAACGCACCGAGGCCATCTCCGTCGATGGGAGGATGGCACCACTACATGGCTTGCAGCCTAATCAGCTGTCATTGTGGTGGTCTTGCATCCGAGCATGTGCCTTTGGCAGCATACATACCAACAACCTTGCTTGTCTCGGAAAGAGCAAGAATAACGACCAGCATGGCACGATTCCGTCTCGCGCAAATCATGTATAATTCCGGGATACTTCCAGCAAACAGAATGAAGTTAGCAATTCAATCCAATTCACTTAGTAAAAAAAAATGTTGTCGACAAAACGAAGCAAGAGCCCGTCCCATGTCTACGAAATGAGTTTCCACAAAACGCCACAGTGTCAACGACGAGACGCGTGTCCTTGAAACGTGTTTCCATGAAATGCGTTTCCACAAAACGTGTTTCAACGAAACCAGAGCTGTCGGGTCATGTATGCTACCGGTTTGTACGCTGCGGCGATTCTCAGTGTACATTACACAGTTGCCAGACGACTCGGAGGCGCGCGTTCCACACACGAGACACACCGGGAAGTCTGGTGGCCGTAGCAGCCATTTCTTTAGAAAGAAATAGAAAAAAAAAAATGATGCATTGTAGAAAAAAAAAAATCTCACAGCGAAAATTCGAATTTCGCAGAAAATCTACGTGAGCACGGAAAACAACATTGAAATATTGGGTGAAAAGGAAAACTACATTTACGAAGTCCTACCGTCCTAAACCAGATGATATACTGTAACCCTAGTAAACAGGATAACTGGGCCAGTTGGTATGGATTCATAATGGAACAGCGCGAATTTTTGCAAGGACAGAGGAAGGAACTGGACAGGACAGCGCTCGTCCTGTCCAGTTCCTTCCTCTGTCCTTGCAAAAATTCGCACTGTTCCATTATGAAACTGTAACCCTAGTTTTAGACGAAGAGGTCTCACCCGTCAACAAGACTTCGTTGAGGAAACGCCGCCCTACCGAGTAGATAGCCTGCGTGAGAGGAGAAACATAAAAATGTTAAGACCGAAGCCTGGGCTGTAACAACACCACCTAGAATAATCAAAGCCTCCGCATCGCCTCCTTTCCTTTCACGAAACGTCATCAGAGTCGGATCGCGCTATAACTCGGCTATTGGGCCGGAGTCCGACCTTCGACGCGCTGATTGAACACGAGTCCCGGCCGAACAGTGACGCAGCACTCGTGCCCAGTCTTAGGCCTCGATCCTTCTAGCCGTGATAACGGCACGGAGGCCTTCTGTCTAGCTGTAGGCACATACAACTGAAGAAAGAGAGTGTGTGGCGAGTCCCTCGCATCTCATTATCGCTCAGCAGCCAATCAGATTGCTGCATTAGCCGATACGAACGCCGAAGACCCAATAAACAATTGCCGCGCCCTGCGTTCTTTAGGACGTGCGGTGACTATATTGTTGGTGCAACGTGCTTTTGAACAGCTAGAACAGCGCACACAAAAGACGACGATGAGCACACAGACGGTACTCCTCATCATCACCAAGGTCGCTTTTTTTTTTTTTTTTGCCGAGATGACGTCATTACCAGCATACGCCCCGCCGTGACGTCACGAGTTCTGGTCCTCGCCGCTTTTCGCGCAGTTGCGAGCGCCAAGTTCGACGGTGTGCGTATAAGGCACGACGGAAGCTTAGAGCCAGCGCATTTTTCAACCAACACCGTCAACGCTAACAATCTGACGTCACTCTTATTTCCATCGACGAAAGCAAAATTAATTCCACTAAAGACGACGCGTTTGACCAATCGTGGAAAGCTGACCACAGCCACGTTTTTAGCCGCGCACGTCTCCGAAGCTGTCGCCTCCTCTGTATACACACTGACGATATATGGGGCTACAGGATGTTATGTTCACCGCGAAGTAAAATAGATAATAAAAATCCATAAGCGCACCCGTCAGTGAATTTCTTTTTTATTAGCTTTAAAATATATTTTTTTTTTACGAATACGTAGTTCTCCTGTCATACCTAGGCCAACTAAAACTAACCACTCACGCTCGCTTGCAAGTGGCACACATCACGTTTTCGCTCGAGTTAAAAAAAAAAAAAGAATCACCGATACGCACTTACTCGTTCGCTATTCTTACAGCTCAGAACGTAGCAACCTGCCGCCAAGCTCAAAACAGACATTCGAGGCCACCCGGATGGGGCCCCAGAAAGTTCAATAAAAAGAAAAGCAAACATAAAAAAAAAAAAAACGATAACAAAGGAAAAATAAGAAAAATCGGGTATTTGACTTTGGTAGATTGAAGCGGACAGGTATTTCGAAAGTCCAGACGCAGCCAACGCTATTGAAACTAATAGCACCTGCAGTCAAGCAGAATCAAAAGCGCAACTCACTGATCTGTTTTGTTTTTCTGTTGATGCTTGGTTCAGCGACGATATAACACGTATACAGAAACGCGACGTACAGCGCAATAATTTCGCTTTTGACGCCGTCTGATTCGCCTCGTAGCGTCGGCACACGACTCTGGACATGAAATGGAACGCTCGTCGTATTTGTGCGTTTCTACCATCACCAGCCCAGTCGTTCACCAAACAGAAACACGTAAAAGGGATCACGGCGCATTCACCGTGCGTGATTGGTCTAGCGGACGGGTAGCCAAAGTACAAAGACGCGACGAGCCCCGTGGCAATGCACGTTTGACGCTGCTCCATCGGACCAAAGTGTCGGCTCCGCCCGGGGTTGCGTAGGGGTTGCGATGATGTCAGAATGCCGAGCTCTTATTGGCTGATTAAAAAAAGTGAAAGCCGCTTACAACTCCCTGTAACGCCGAATTAGAGCGCAGCTCTTGAGGAGGAGGAGGGAAGGGCACTGGGGGGGTTAAACTAACCAGGGGGGTCACGTGACCTTGGGGGGTCACGTGACCCCCAATGCCGATGATGTCATCACTGACGTCACTGATGACGTCATCAGTGACGATGACGATGCGGGTACCGAGACGTCATTAGTGACGTCACTGATGACTTCACCAGTGATGATGACGATGACGATGCGAATGTCGGTGACGTCATCAGTGACGTCGCTGATGACGTCATCCGTGATGATGACGATGACGATGCGGATGCCGGTGACGACATCAGTGATGATGACGATGACGATGCGGATGTCGGTAACGTCATCAGTGATGATGACGATGGCGATGCGGATGCCGGTGACGTCATCAGTGATGATGACGATGTGGATGCCGGTGACGTCATCAGTGATGATGACGATGACGATGTGGATGCCGGTGACGTCATCAGTGATGATGACGATGACGATGTGGATGCCGGCGACGTCATCAGTAATGATGACGATGACGATGTGGATGCCGGTGACGACATCAGTGACGTCACTGATGACGTCATCAGTGATGATGACGATGACGATGCGGATGCCGGTGATGTCATCAGCGATGATGACGATGACGATGTGGATGCCGGTGACGTCATCGGTGATGATGACGATGACGATGTGGATGCCGGTGACGTCATCAGTGATGATGACGTCATCAGTGATGATGACGATGTGGATGCCGGTAACGTCATCAGTGACGGTCATACGGAGGTCACGCGACCGGCGGGGGTCACGTGACCTCAGGGGGTCACGTGACCTCGGGGATCACGTGACCTCGGGGAAGGGGTCACGTGACCTCAGGGGAGTCACGTGACTTCGGGGGTCACGTGACCTCGGGGGGTCACGTGCCCCCCCCCCCCCCCCCACGAGGTCACGTGACCCCGGTGGGGGGCTCGCGCGGTGCATTATGGGACATTTCCCATGATGCACCGCGCGGTTACGCCGACGGCGACGCCGACGGCGACGGCGACGGCGACGGCGACGGCGACGCCGCTCAAGCCGGAAACGGGCCCCTAAGAGCTGCGCTCTAAAATATATTTATATATACCTATATAGTGGGCATACCTCAAGGCACCCAGCGTTGAGATCTACCCCCTATCCTTTCAATCACAGCCAATCAGAGCACGGCGTCGTTCGGACGCCACCGGAACCCCTGCGTATTACGAAGCAGACGACTTGCTCTCCGTGTAAAACGGATCGTTTATCATTCTTTTTCCTTTTCTGTCAAAAATTTAACAGTCTTAACTCACCAAAACCCTATCTCTTTTTTTTTTTTTTACCGCTGATGTGTCGAAAAACGCAAAAGAGTTATATACATGTCGCCCACTTTATGCTAAGAAGCGGTCACACTGCTTATTGCATCAAACAAAAGACAGTCTGCAATCACTGTCTGAGACATGTTTCTTGCTTGCATGACAACCCCTATCATGTTTGTCCTAAAATAAGAAGAAAATGTTTTTGGCTCCGGTGCTTCGAACCTGCTTGGGGCGTGTGGGCAGAAGAACTTCGCAGGTCTTTCGTACGATTGTATGGGCAATGTAGCTGCGGCTTTACCCGTTCTTTTTCTTTCTTTTCTTTTTCTGTCTCTCCTTTAGTACGTCGTATGAACGGAGAAGCCAGGTTGAGAGACCGAATGATCTCTCGACTGCTTCCACAAAGACACCGTAATCGTAAAAAAAAAAAAGAATGGCGGTTTATTTGGGTTGTTGTTCGCCCCGCGGACAGTGGTGCTTCGCGATCTTCGCGTATCTGCGGTGGCATAAAGATAAGGTCGATGTTTGTTCTCCGAACCCCTTTCTTCCCGGAAATCCGCGGTTGCGAGATCCAGTAATTGTCGCAATCTTTGCCTCTCAAAGAAGAAGAAAAGAGAAAAGTGAGAAAGATAAAGAGAGACGTTCCAAGATTTGAGAGGCGCCTGTGATTAGGTGATCAGAGGCGGTTCCGTCAACGTATACAGCCTGTCTGGAGCCAGTGACAAATGCGCCCAGCGCGCGCACACGATTGACTCTCACTTTCCCCCCTACTTCCGTCTACATCGCTTCTCTCTCTCTCTCTCTTTCTCTCTCTCTCTCCCTCCCGAAAATGTACCGTGTTTTTGTCCCTGCAAAAATGAACATCGCCGAGGCTCAGTTTCCGTCCAAGTGTAGCGATAGCTGTCCGAAAAAATGGCAAATGTTCACAAGTAACCCATATTCAAAAAGTTACGAGCGATTTTCCGAAAATTTTAATGAGAAAATTAGACTCATTTTCGCACGTGTTTGGTAAATGAAATCATTCAGCTCCATTCGAGAGCTCCGTAAGCTGCCATTTTTACTAACAAAAAAAAAAAAAGAAAGCAACGGTTAGAACTTTAGACTAGAAGCCGAGCTCGGGCCTAAGAGGGGACGTGGGGAGAGAGAGAGAGAGCGGAGTTAGCGTCTAAGTAGAATTTTGTTGTGCGCGCAGGCACGCGCAGAGTGCATGCAAACGTAACCCTGGGCAAGCTCGCACTCCCGACATGTGTAGAATGTAAACGAACAAGCACTAAAAAACAACTTTCCCAGCTTCGTTCCCCATCTCCGACCACGCGCGGACTTGAACGACGAATACACAGGGTGAGGCCGTAAGGATCAGCACGTTTGGCACGCCTCGCAAAATTCTGGCTTTTACTATAGAACAGCTGGCTGCTGCAGACGTCAGCGGGTGTAGCGCGTAGACCTATGTTACCAGCATTCTCCTTGATGCTTGGGTAATTTAGCAATAGGCCTACCGGCCTGTTGACCACCCCTTTCAGACGGGCACCTAAAAGGACATTTACGCCAAAGGACCTTTAGTGTAACTGTCATTTAGGCAGTGCCACACGGCAACTCAAATGGCATTTAGCGTAAAGGTCCTTTTCGTGAACCTGAGTTCCCGCAACTCCTTTACGGCTGCTAAAGGCCTACTCTCGTCAGCAACGGTCTACACTAGAGAGGCGAATTGAAATAAAAAATCGTACCGATATCTAAAACCACTGCGTTTGCATTTTTATTATTTAAAAAGAGCGTGTTTCACGTATATTCTATACAAACCTCGCTCTACTAATAGTTTTCTGTACTCATGGCCCCAGCTATCTAGTAGGCCTCGTCGTCGCCTGCTCACGTCGTCCGT